TCTCTGTCTTTCTGGTGAGCACATGCGCCCTATAGCAAAAACCTCCCCCCCCCAAAAAAAAAAATAATGGAGATAATTCTAATTAGAAATTAAACTCCTCCTCTGTGTGTTAATCATTCTTTTGGTTTTGACCATTAGATGAAATTGTCTTTAGTTTGTGTATATATAGACACTTTTGTCAGTTAAGTATATTTTTATTGTCTAGCCAAATGAGTACCTTGCAGTATGGCTCTCTGGGAATATAACTGTGTGCTCAATGAAGAACAATAGATTTCTTGAACAAGGAAAATACATTTAGGTTTGTAGTGGCAGATGCAGACTCTTTCTAGAAAGCTCTATTTCTCAGTTTGTTAATGCATGGCCAAGCAGATACACAGATAGTTAATAATAGTTAATAATACTGCTTAATTCTCATAGTCAAATTGCTTTATAGTTTATAGCAATTCTGAAACTGAGAACACAAGAATGATAAGCTATAAAATAAACACCACAACTGCTAGTAAGTAAAAATACAGACTACACATTATTGAATAGCAAGACATTCTTATAAAATTCAATAAGATATCATTTTTTGCAGCTGTTTTCAGTGTTCTTTTCTGTCATCCTAGTTCCTTTAGTGAATTTACTTACTTTTTTTTTTTTAAGGAAGCAATGTTTCTCGCTAAAGAATATCAAAGAAGATAAATTCCCTATCAAAATCCCAATGACTTTTTTTTTCCAGAAATAGAAAAGCCATTCTCAAATTTATGTGGCATTTCAAGGAACCTCAGATAGTCAAAGCAAACTTAAAGTTGGAGGCTTCACACTTACTGATTTCAAAAATATACTACAAAGCAACAGGAATTAAGATAGCAGGAATTACTTATTGCCATAAAGATTGATATATAGACCAATGGAAGATAATAGAATCTGTAAATAAATCCTCATATGTATGGCCAGATGATTTTCTGCCAATGGGGAAGGACACATAATGAGGAAGGACAGTCTCATCAACAAATAATACTAAGAATACTGGATAGCCACATGCAAGAGAATGAAGTTGGCCCCTTACCTTATGTCATATACAGAAATGAACTGAAAACTGGATTAATGATGTAAATATAAGACCCCCAAACTGTTAGACTCCTAGAAGAAATCATAGGGCAAAACTCTAGGACTTTGGATTTGGCCATGATTTCTTGGTGTGACACTTAAAATCAGACAACAAATTAAAAAATAGACAAAAGGGACTATATCAAACTTAAAAAGTTCTACACAGAAGGCAAATAATCAGCAGAATGAAAAGGCAGCTTGGAGAATGGGAGAAAATCGCTGAAAATCATATACCTACTAAAGGATTAATATCCAGAATGCATATGGAACTTCTATAACTCAGGAACAAGAAAACAGAACAATCTGATTTGTAAATGGGCAATGAACTTGAGTGGACATTTCTCCAAGAGGGCATATAACCAATAGGCATATGAAAGGATGTTCAACAGAATCAGCAGGAGGTCGGCAGCTGGTGACTGAGCAAGGCTTTGTCTGTGTTGGCAGCCACTCCCCATCACTCACATTGCTTCCTGGACTCCTGTGGGATCAGTGGTGGTATTAGATTCTTATGGGAGTGCAGACCATGTTGTTGTGTATTTATTTCATTGTGTGTTGTAATGTGGTAGTGGTGGAAATGGGGTGCATAGTGGATGTAGTGGGCTTGGATCATCCTGGGACCAACTGTGCTCCTTGTACTCCCTCTCTGTCCCCTATCCCATGGGGAGATTATCTTATTGTCTTCCATGAGGCTGGTCCCTGGTGCCAGGAAGTTTGGGACCACTGCTCTACAGAAGAGAAATGGAAGAGAACGAATTGTGTTATGACCATGTTCTATTTGAGGAATGCTTTCTCTCTCTCCTTCTCCTCTCTCTTTTTCTCTCTCTGGTGAGTTCACACGCCTTCTGATGATTTTTTTTTTAAAGGACAGAAAATAACAAGTGTTGGTGAGGATGCAGAAAAATTGAAACCCTTGTGTACTGTTGGTAAAAATGATGTAACCATTATGAAAAACAGTGTGACCCTTCCTTAAAAAATTAAAAATTAACAATACAATTCTTCAGTCCCATTTTTGGGTATAGAGCCAAAAGAATTCAAAGCAGGATCTTAAAGAGATATTTGCCCACCCATGTTTATTGCAGCATTATTCATGATAATTAAGAGGCAAAAGCAACCAGATGTTGCTTGACAGGTGAAGAGAAAAAAACATAATATATACATACAATGGAATATTATGCAGCCTTAAAAAGAAGGAACTCATGTCACATGAATGAACCCCAGCATGACATCATGCTGAATGAAATAAGCCAATCACAAAAAGACAGATGTGCAATTCTTTTCACAAAAAGAATCCGTAGTCAGACTATAGACACAGAAACTAGAACAGTGATTACCAAAGTCTGGGCAGAAAGGGGGGAAGGAAGAATTAGTGTTTAGTGGGTATAGAGTTTCAGTGTTGCAAGATGAAAAAATTCTAGTGATCTTTATACAACTGTGTAAATATACTTAACACTATTGATCTGTATACTTAAAATGATTAAGGTTAGGATCAGCAGTTAGGGTAATGACCGTGTCGCTGAACTCTCATGTAGTCGACCACAGTTCAAGTCCTAGACCCAGTGGCTTAAACTCATGCCAGTGTGTGTGCATGTGTGCCCAAGGTCCCAAGAGGAGAATGGAAGAGAAGAGATTGCGGTGTGGCCATCCCCCCTGGGGGGTGATTTCTTGCTTTCTGTCTCCTCTGTCTCTCTGGTGAGCGCATGCGCCCTGTAGTGAAAAACCTCTCAAAAAACAAACAAACAAACAAACAACAAAAAAAGATTAAGGTTGTAAATTAAATGTTATTTTTTTACATCAATTTTTGAAAAGTAGCATTTTATTTCCGAATTTTATATTCAATTAACAATTTCATTGCTTGTCTTCTATGTGCCAGGAACCTTCATTTATTCTTTCAGTGACCTAGGAATTTAAGAACTCCTTTGTCTATTTTATAAATTAGAAAATAGAGATTTAAAAATATATATAAATATTTATAGAGCATGTGCATTTGCTGGAGAGACAGAGAGAAATGGAGAGTGAAAGTGAGAAATCACTCCCCAGGGGGGATGGCCATGCCATAGTCCCTTCTCCTCCATTCTCCTCTCAGGATTTTGGGCATGCATGCACACACACCCAGTGTAAGTTTTAAGCTGCCAGGACTGGAATTCAAAATGTAATCAGCCATGTGGGAGTCTAGCACCTTAACCACCACACTACCTGCTGACCTCCCCCCTTTTCTAGAGAGATTTTTGTTATTAGGGTGTGTGTGCTCGCTAGAGAGTCAGAGAGAGAGAGAGAGAGAGAGAAAGAGAGAGAAACAGAAAGCAAGAAATCACCCCCACAAGGGGGAATGGCCACACCATAATCCCTTCTCCATTCTCTTCTTGGGGTTTTGGGCACACACAAATGCACACATGCCTGGGTGTGAGTTTCAAGCCACCAGGTCCATGACTTGAACCACAGTTGTGTGCATGGGAGTCAAGTGTCTTAACCACTATTCCACCTGCTGGCCCTGAAACTTATTTCTGTTAGACCTTACATATGATGAAACACAAATGTGGTTACCTAACTAAATGAGTTGCTCAAGACTTCAATATAGATAATATATTAAAAATAAAAGGTGTGAATCCCTAGGAAGGAAGATAGAGGAGGTGAGGCTAGAATAATGAATGAAAATAAATTTAGCAAGTTTGCTAAGTAGAACATCACTTTTGGGGGGCAGCCTTAATTCCAGTACTGCTGAATATGGTTGGACCTGTTGGATTTGCTGAGAATGCAAATAATCCAATCAAATATGATCGTCATTAAAGAAAAAAAAATACAATTTCAAAGTTTTTATGAAGACATGCACTGCCTAATCTGCGAATTGAAAGCGTCTTTTAAAAATTTGCTTCTCTTCATATTTCTAGGTGTAGTGAGTATGTGGATAGAAAAATGAAGGCATTTAAAATAATGCTAATGAAGTTAAATGATTGCAATCTACCATATTGTGAAGAAGAGTTGTGATCTGTGAAAGCTGAGGATAGAATTAAAATATTACCATGACTGGCATTTGATTTGAAAACTGGAAAGATAAGCTTAGGTTCCTATTTATGAAAACCATCCCCACAGTCCGACAAAATATCTTCTAAAAGGTTCTATAGTTACCATGGATACTTGTTAACTTTGGTAAAAGTAAGTTGTAATCTATATTCAATTATTTGAGATGAAAAGGGTAAAAACCAACCAATAAAGTCAAAAGTAATTTCATCTCTAAATTCATACTATAATAGCTCGGAAATGAAAAAGGTAAACAGACTAAAGATAAGATTTTTGGTTGATGATCACTGCTTGAAAAGCAAAATATTTATGGTCCATGGTGCCTGAATTTGATCCTAGTGTTTAATTTTTACATGTAAATTTTCCTTTTAGTTTGTAAAAGGGATTTCTTAGGTTTTTGACATAGGAATTTGGATGGTGAGACTTTTCTGAAAGTTGATGAAACCTAAGCTATATACTCAATTTCTGAAAGCCTTGGAGACACAGACAGTATTGAAGGCATTGGTCCCCATGGAAACATATTTACATTTGGCCAAGTGGCTGGTTTCTGCTTAGCTTCTTTTAATTGCTATATATTGACAGCCGTTTTCCCAACTATTTATAAAACGTCAGATAAATGAGCATGTGTACAAGGGATTGCACACCATATCTTTAGGCTCGATTAGACACTTCAAATGACAGAGCTCTGCACGAAGAGTTACTGAGGTGTTTTTGGCATTTCCTAATGTGTCTGTCACATAATGGAAGCACAGAGTCTTTCAAATCATTTAAATATTTTTCTCAATTCTCTTATAAAACAGGTGACAAAAGAGCTAAAACAGTATGACAACAAAATTATAGAATGCAAATTTGAGAACAACAGCTGGGTCTTCATGAGACAGAGAACAGACAAAAGTTTTCCTAATGCTTACAACACTGCCATGGGTGAGTATGACAGCCTACTGGTGCTTATTACAGTAGGAAGGAAAAAAAAAAAAAAAAAGTTAAGGTGTTAGAACCAGAATATGCTTTCTTCGTTGCTCTGCTTGATATGGCACGAGGTTGTTGGGACTTCATCCTTGTTTGGTGGGAAAGAAGTTATGTCCATCCATGTCCTGGCTCCAAGCAGCTTATAGGTTCTTTCTAAACTGGTAGGCGTGTGCCCATGTATCTAAAAGAGAAGTTTAAAGAGCAGGATACCGACTGTATACAAGTTGAATTTATGAACAATAACAACAACAAAAGCCATGATAATTTCAGATCTATTCAAACTATAAAAACTATTGTTTGCCAGATGGTAAAAGACAAAATTAGCAGGGGAAAATGTAATTTCCAACTCCTAAAAATAGCTTTACAAACAATGGAGAACAAAGTAAATGAAAGCCATTAAAAAAAAATCTGCTATGCTATACTTCAGATTGTTCTTTGGGTACAATATGAATGCTTTGAGAATAGTAAGTTTCTTTAATGGGCTTTCAGAATAGTAAGTTTCTTTAATGGGCTTTCAGAATAGTAAGTTTCTTTAATGGGCTACCACACAAATTAATTGGAAGTTTATAAGGTATATTACATTTGTAGCAGTTGTTGCTCTGTTTTGCATTTTTAGGGGAGATAAAGATTAAAAACCAAGATTAAAGATTAATAGAATTGTGGTGACCATTAGATATATGATAATCTTATGAGAAAATATAGACATTGCCAATTTAAGTTTTGCAGTTTAAATGTTAACTATTGTACATTTAGGGGCTCTTGTTGAAACTAGCAACAGTGTTCAGACAAGATGAGTTAAGGTCAAAAGCTCGAATGAAGAAGACAATGTCTTTCCTTCCAAAACCAAATATATAATTAAAATGTAAAGAACTAGTGCCCATTTTTTGTCTTTTAAGAATAGATGCTTTATATATTACTATTGTTTACATCTTGAAATAAGTTACTTTTTAAAAATTTTTATTGTTTTTTATTTGGAGAGAGAGGAAAATGAGAAAGCAAGCCACCAGGCTGGGCACTCAGCCATATGGGAGTCCAGTGCCCCTAACCACCATGCCACCTGCCAGCTCCATCTTCAAATAAGTTATTAAAAGAAAATGATACGGGGCCAGCAGATGGCATGGAGGTTAAGAAGGCTGAATCTCACATGGCCAACTGTGTGGTTCAAGTCCCAGATCCTGTGGCTTGAGAAAAACCCCTGGTGCATGTACGTATGTGCCCAGTCTCAAAAGGAGAATGGTGGAGAAGGGATTGAGCATGACCATCCCTCCAGGGGGTGCTTTCTCATTTTCCCTCTCTCTGTGTATCAGTCTCTGGCAAGCACACATGCCTTATAGCAAGTAAAGAAATTAAATTCAGTGATATGATCTTCCAGTTTCCTGGGTGGCTGATGCTGTGGTGTGTATTTCATAGAATGAACTTTCTTAGAGAAAGATTGAAGGACTATAGTAGATACTTTCTGTAGAGCTTTTAATTCACTATGAACTATAGTGCAGTGCATTGTGCTAGATTTAAAAAACTGTTTTGAAGGAATAGAAAACCATAAGTAGTTTTCTTATAACATAAATACAGTTTTGGTTTAAAATTAATACTACAAGCCAGGCACAGTGCCTGTAGTCTCAGCTAATCACAAGACTGAGGCAGAGGATCTTGAATGCATGTCACCCAAATTGGTAAAATGGGAAGTGTTTAGCATATTGGGATGAAAACCATTCTCCTAAGCCTGTGGTGAGTCAGCTGCCTTAATTAATCCTCACGTGAGATGCATGTCTCCCTTTGTCCACAGCTGTGTGCAATAGCATCTCAAACCCTGTCACCAAGGAGATGCTGTTTGAGTTCATTGACAGATGTGCTGCAGCCTCTCAAGGACAGAAGCGAAAACATCATCTGGACCCTGATACAGAGCTCATGCCACCACCACCTCCCAAAAGACCGCACCCTTCAACCTAAGATCTGTCTCTGACTTCAGAGTTCAAGAGGAGATATGAGTGAGGAAAAAACCTCACTACCCATTTTTGCAACCAGAGAAATTCAAAGCCAAGGGTGGCTTGATGTTGATACACATTGAATTTTTTTTTTTTTTAAAAAGAGAGGTATTGTAGCCAGCCTGTAAATATTTGATGCATTTATTTCCTCAGTGCTACAATACATTATAGACTTAAACATTTTATTTATATCTGATAAACTCAGCCTTACCTTGTGAAATCTGAAGATTGAAATATCCAAAGGTTTAAACGAGATTGAAATCAGTGAAAAAGAGGCCTTGTTTATATATGGATAACATTCACATTTCGTTGATAAAATTAGCAATCTGGAATTGTGAGCGCATAAAACACGGTATTTTTAGAAGTTGTGTTTCAACTTTGGCAAGTTTTCTTTGAAAAAATTTAAGCAGTGGCATTAAATATTCTTGCTATCATTTATCATGGATTTCCTGTATTTCTGAGATTCTTCTTGTATTCAAAAACAAATCACAAGGTTGTTAAATATTGTACTATATTAAACAACTTGGTCTGATTTATATCATTTTAAGGGTTTTTTTTTTTAAATGTAAAAGTAAAAAAAGTAAAGCTCCATTTTTGTGAATTGCATCGTTCCTAAAAGAAGTGTTCTGAGTATTTTTATCTGTTTCTCTTGTTTGAATTACAATATTAGATCTCCAATTTGTCCATTCTGGCAGCGGTTTTGAGTTACTTTATGGAACTTGGATATACACCACCAGGTCCTTTATATATTGTTCTCCGAGGAGATTTTTCTTTTTTTGATACCAGGGCTACTTCTGCTTTACCTCAGTGGTATCAGCACATTGTAAATTACATTAGAATACACAACTCACTGTGATCTATGGGAGCGATAGCACATACAAACAATGCTGTGTTAGTTCTCTCCAACAAAACAGCGAAGGAAATGCCAGCTGACTCCTTTGATTAGAAGGTAATGTCAACAGAATAGAATGCTGTCACTAGAAAATGCTCTCCTACTGCTAGGTAAATGCAGAGGGGAAGCAGACATTTGTAGGAACTAAACTTCAAGGAAATCAAGATGGTTTATTTTCAAAGCCAGATTCTATCCGTATTATTTTCTGGGGATGTTATTTCTGTTATGCATCTGAATTTTTAAATGTTTATGGATAATGGATTCAAAGGTCAGCTAATTGGTCATCTGCCATTGTTGAGAAACTGTGTTCTGATTGGCTTGTGAAGGAACTCTTGAGAATTAGCTGATTAGAGGCTACTGTATTTATTTTTAGAAGTACATGTTTTAAGTATATGTATTTAAAGCAAATTTTCATGATCTGAATTTTATATGTGTGGATGCATATGTTTGTGAATATATGCAGCAGTGTCTATTCTTCTACTGATACAGCCAGACATGAAAATCCAGTGAGTTACCTAGTAGAAGGAATATTTGACAGGATTTCTATACGACATAGCACAGATTAACCAAAAATGTATTTATATTCACCTGAGTTTTAATGTTTTTACTTCTGCTGTGCTTTTCTATGTGAAATATTAGAATCATGCTTGGGCTTTTTCCTTTGTTGTTCCCAAGTTATGTAATGTATGGTGAATTTATCCAAAATGCCATTTTAATGCTTTTTTTCCTAGAGTGCTTTTGTGCATTTGGGCGCTAAAGGAATTAAAACACTTAACCGTCACAATGACTGTTAGAAGCGAGAAAATTCCAAAAGTTCCATGGTGTCTTTTACAAAGTGGGTCTAAAAAAATGCCTCTGCAACTCCAGAGAGTCTGATGCCTACTTCCCCAGGACAAGTGACCCTCACATCATACGTTGTATTCTTCCGAGCCTATGGAAAGGCAGAGCCCTTCTGCAGATATAAAACCAAGCTTTTGCCAATGACCTTTAATAGAGTTAAGATGTTTATGGTAATTGTAACCTTTTAAATGAGTTATGTGAAAAGAGCATCTCATTTTCAATGCGTCAGGTATTTTCTCCTTGTCTTTATGCATTTTAGCAGGACTTAATTTTCTTAATTTATCTTTCCCTTTAAATGACAACGAAGTATAACAGTCAGCCTTATAAGTAGATCCCATTTAGCCCCTGAATGCACTATGATCTGCAGTATCATAAGTCATTTCTGAGGTCACGGGGTGGGGGGTATCTAGAGGCCAGATTTGAGGCATCTTGAAGGAAGCGATTCCTTCTCATTTTACGGTAACTATTTCTCTGAGACTGAAGTTTTTTAGATAAGAAAGAATGAGAAAACTTTGCTTACCTGAGTTATCACATGTAAAAGCTTTTGCTTTTTGTTTGGAGAAAGTGTGGATGACTCTACTGCCTGGATGGTTACATTTGCTTTCTGTGAAATGCTCAGAAAATGTCAGGACATTCCTTCTCTAATTGTGTGTCAGTGTGTGTTGTAATAAACTACTGATTTAAAATAACAGAAAGCGTACCTACTTTGTTTTATTGGTGATAATGATCTTGTGTCCCTTCTATGCTGGCATCAGATCATGCTGCATCATCCCCAACCATTACAATCCGTCTGGTTTTGTAGCTCTCTAGCGATCAGCATAATGACCTGGAAAATCCTCTTTTTCTTCCTGAGAAATTTGATTGGCATAGGAGGAGTAGGATGCAGTTTGAACCTCTTATTTTGAAGCATAAGGGAATGGGGAAAGCACATCTTTTATAACATTTATGTTACTTCTTTTCATTTACCTCATCTCAGCAGTCCTAGTGTATGAGTAAGTATTCTGTTCTATTATTTTTAATGCACTTAATTCTTTTCAGTACGCAGCAATAAATATTATGCAATGAACTAATGAACTACTAATTTTCTTTTCTTGGCTGTGCACTGTTATAATATAGAATTTGCCATCTTTAAATGTTTAAATTATACCACCACTTCGAACTACATGTTTAGTTCCTCCTGACCAAACAGACTTTGAAAATCAAGAACCAGGTCCTGGCATGTGGAGAAAGCGCTTGTGGTAGAGAGAGCCCTGGTTAAGTCCAGGCTCTGCCTCTCGTTGGTTCTGTGTTCTCTCTGGGACCCCACATCCTTTTCTTCCCCATTTATAAAAGGCAAGATTTGGCCAGATCATCCAAAAGAATTTTTCAAGGTCCTAACCATGATTCCTGTATGTAAGCCAGTACTTTGTGTATCTCCTTTATTGCCTATAATAGCAGTGTTACCATTATCGAATATTCACCAAGCACCAGAACTGTCCTAACCACACCGCTCTCTCTTCACAGGTAGACACTATTACTAACCTAATTTTTGTGAGATGAGAGATCTGAGACTAAGTTGTGAGCTGAGCCACAGATGGAGGTCTTTACACTCCAGCACCAAAGTTTTTGTATAGTACTGTCCTAAATGCTTTGTTACAGTGTCTGCATGGGTGACTGCTTCCATGCCTGGGGTTCCAAACTACTTAAGTTTGTCTTTGTTTATGCTAACATAGTGCTTCAAGCTCTTCTCTCCTAAATAAAAAGATGAAGTTGAGAACCTGGAAGTAAATAACATTTTTAGGACCTTATTTAACTACTTTTTATACGATATTTAAATGTGAATGATTAAGTGGCCATGAAGGGAATTTTTAAAATTCTCATTATAATGCTAAATTCCTAAGGTGTACTTAGGAAGAAATAAGTGATTAAATTACACACTAGTCTTCCTGATTGTTGCAAAGTTAGCTGTCAACACTGACACTTTAGCAGGTCATCGTCAACCTTGGTTAGCTTAGGCATGCATGGTGAGCAAGGTGGTAGAGGGATTTAAAGCAGGAGCCACCCACCGAGTCTTCTGGATTTCACATTTCAGAAAATCAAGTGCATGGGTCTTGGGTTGCCAAATGTTTTGCCATGTAAGAGCATTTAAGGAAAAAGTATGTTATCATTTAATAAGATAAAGGTAATCTTAACACCCAAAAAGGAAATAAGGCAGAAGAAGGAACAGACCTTTACACAGAACAGATTTGTTTTGTAGAACAATTCCTTTGCTTCTACATTTTACCCCAGACTGATATAAACTTTTTTATGGACTGGTGTTGGGAATCATTGCATCAGAGACATTACAGTCAGGAGCTTCTTAGTGGGGAGAGATATGAAAACCCTCAAAGAAGGAGCAGTTCTTAGTTCTAGAGCTAAAGGTTATTTTCAGAACCTGAACTGACCATGTAAATTACATTATAGTGGTTAATTTTAGGGGTTGATTATAATGTGCCCTTAAGATAGAAGGTGTTTAGGTGAAAATGCAATTATACAAATGTTTAAAAATACCCAAATAGAGGAAACTCTTGCTTGTCAGAGCTGGAGAAATAAGTGAGCCAAAGATAACACAGAAAAGGAGATTTGGACCTTTTTTTAAAAAAGAGGTTTTTGTCATAGTGTGCATGTGCTCAATAGAGACTTAGAGAGAGACAGTAAGACGGAAAGTGAGAAATTACTCCTCCCAGGGGGAAATGGCCATGCCGCAGTCCTTTCTCCTCCATTCTCTTCCTGGGATCTTGGGATCTTGCGTACACACCTAGTGTGAGTTTCAAGCCACCGAGTCCAAGACTTGAACTGCCATTGGCCATGCGGGAGTCCTGCGACATAACCGCTACACCATCTGTTGGCCCCCACATTTGGACTTTGACAACACATCAGACCAACAGAAAGTCACCAGTTTTCACAACTTTGTACATAGTCTTGTTTTCTTTAGATCATTTCCTTTAGAGTGAGCTTCCAAAACTTCAAACCTACCCCTGTTGTTCCTCACCCTTAAGAGCTCCCCGGCACCTGACAGAAACACCCTGATGGAATCTGGGCTCGGCCTGCCTGTCGAGGTTTGGATCTCATGCCTGCCTTGTGATGCAGTGGCACAGCTGCTTGTTATTGCCAGAACCCCATGCTCTCTAAGCCCAGGAACCTTTGCCCATGGTGCAGCTGCCGCTGCCTGAAGCCCCCAAACCTCCCTTAAACTCAACCTCAAGGGAGCTTTCCTCCACAGCCAGCTGCCTAGAACTCACACTGAATTATAGTAGTCTCCCTTGGTCTCTCCCCTTGAAACAGAGGCCCTCAGTATAGCAGAGGCAGTATGTTGTCTCCGTTACCCACAGCACAGAACTTGGCAACAGTGGATACTTGGTAGGAATTAGGGCAGGAAGATCATCCCCATTTGGTTAGCCATGTCGAGCATCATTTTTTGTCACTAGTCTCTCACCACAGAAGAAACAATAATATCTCTTGTTTCTTAAGAATTTCTTCAGAGGCAGGACCAGCAGTTAGCGTAATGGCTGTGTCGCTGGACTCCCACATAGTCAACCGTGATTTGAGTCCCGGACCGGGTGGATTAAGCTCACTCCAGGCACGTGTGTGTGCATGCCCAGGATCCCGAGAGAATGGAGGAGAGGGGATTGCAGCGTGGCCATCTCCCCTGAGAAATGATTTCTCATTTTCTGTCTCTCTCTCTCTCTCTGTGTGTTTCTGGTGAGCACATGCACCCTGTAGCAAAAACCTCTCAAAAAAAAAAAAAGAATTTCTTCGGAGGCCATCTCTGATCCGTCTCATATTTAATCCTGATTAGAGTGTCTTGTCTGTTCTTGCCTGTTTCGCACTGAGGATGGGTGCTTCTGAGGGAAAC